AAAAAAAAAAAAAAAAAAAAAAAAAAAAAAAAAAAAAAAAAAAAGGAGAAAGAGGGGGAGGAAGAGGAGCCACACAAGCATGGTGCTGCATGCCTTTAATCCTAATTCTTGGGAAGTAGAGGCTGGAAGTAAAGGAGTTCAGGATCGTTGTTGGCTGTGGAAAAAGATCTGGGTCAGCTTGAGCTAAATGAAACCCTGTCTCAAAAACAAAAACAACCTCCTCCCAATAATAAGAACCTAGAACAGGCAAACAATATTAATAGTTCTCAGAAAAACCAGAAACACAGAAGCCTTAAATACAGAAAAATGCACTTCACTCACAATCAGAAATGCAAATGCAGATCACACAAATACTGAGAATATCCCTTTTCATCTGCTAGAGCGGTGGTTCTCAACCTTTCTAATGCTTTGACCCCTTTATACAGTTCCTCATGTTCTGGTGACCCTCAACCATAAAATTATTTCTTTGCTACTTTACAGCTGTAATTTTGCTACTGTTCTGAATCATGATGTAAATTTCTGGTATGTGACCCCCCAAATGGATCACGGCCCACAGGTGGAGAACCACTGTTCTAGAGTGTCAAAAATCCGAAAGTTTCATAGGACACACATACAACGTTTAAAGTAGGGACTCTAAGGACACCTTCCAAATTTCATGCCCACTTATCCTTTGAACCAGCAATACCATTCCAGTAACTTACCCTGTAAACATAGTGATCTGCGTGCAAACTGACTTATGCACAAGGCTGTTGATTCATTTTGGCCTTGACCCAAATGGTATAAGATTGGAAACCACCCATTTGTCCAATAAAAGAGAGGAATCCATGAAACTTCTTTGCAGTCGAGTTTTGACTAGCCATGAGAGGAGAATGAGGATGTCCTTCAGATAGCGACAGGAAATAGTAGCTGTAGTTATAATTTTAAGTGTAGTGGTGCACACCTTTAATCCTATGCTTGGGAGGCAGAGGCAGATGGCTCTCTTTGAGCCTGGTCTACACAGTAAGCTCCAGGACATCAAAGGCTACATAGAAAGACTATGTCTCAGAAACGACATAAAACAAAACAACAACAAATCCCCCACAAGACCAAGACCAAAACCAAAACCAACAACAACAACAAAATCCCCAAATTTTAAGCTGAAGAAGCAAGGGCCAGGCTTGGAGGTGCATGCCTGTAATCCCATCTACTCTGAAGACTATGCAGGAGGATTTCAAGTTCAAGGGCAGCCTGGGCAACATAGAAAGATCCTGTCTCTTAATAAAAAGAACAACAACAGAAACAAAGTGGAAGCCTGGGTATGTACCTCAGAGTGCTGACTTAACATGTGTGAGAGCCAGGGCTCTCTCCAAAGCATCCAACAACAAGACACAGAACACTGTGGGGTTTATTTTTATGTAAGCAGGGAGAGGTTGAATGAAAATATGGTTTCTTACTTGAGTGTCAATGAATGATCTGTGAGGATGGCTAGAGCGAGTGACCATAGGGTGAAGGGGCAGAGGCAGGATGCAAATCGCTCTAGTCCACAGTTCGGGCATTTAAACTGCATCCGACCCATTCTAAAATTAGCAAAGATAAAATAGACAACTGGACGTGAAGAGAGGAACTTGGGCTTGGAGCTAGGTTTCATCCGAGTTTCTGAGTGGGAAGCAGAAGGTCCTGGCCTGGGACTCGCTGCCCTGACCTCTCAGGCACACTATATATCACATGTTTGGTTAGGCTTCCATCTTGGGTGCTGAGTCAAGTGTTTACAGCAGGCCGGCCCGAGGCCCTCCTGTTGGGGTTGCTCAGCATGGCTGAGCTCCTGCAGGCCCCAGCCAAGGATGCTGGATTTCCTGACACTGCTACCCAGGGCTCATTCTTGTCTGATGTGTCCACAAACCGCTACATCCTCTGGCCAGGGACCTCTGCAGTGAGCTTCCCTTGAAATCAATTTTCTCTCAAGGAGAGAGGGGTGTAGAAGTCCTGGTTCTAACAGCTAGGGGAAAGTGCTGGATGGGGGAGTGGGGGGGATGGTGGGGAGGATGCAGCAATGGAGGGAATTAAATCTAACTCTGCAGGGGTCCCAGAGGCAGTCCTGAGGCTAGGAAATAGGGTCCCTGGGAGCAAAGGCTCTTGGGATAGAGATCTGATTGGGGTCTCCAGAGTCATTGAGAACACCCCTTTTCGGGTCTCAGTCCATCCTGCTGACCCTTCTACGGATGACAAGAGAGCATGAGGCCGTGGCAGGCTGAGCTGAGTATGAACAGGCAGTCAGTGTTCTTCACTCTTTTTTTTCACTGCCCCTACTTTGTTGAGCCATCACCTTCTGTGACCTGCCCTCCCTCCCACACCTGAGTAGGTTAGACCCTTCCAGCCAGGGCTGCTTCATCCCTCTCAGCTCCTTCAATCACGACATTCATTGTGCTGCAGAACATGACCGTCTGTTAGTCCTTTCTCACCAGACTATGAGTTCCTTGAAAGCAAATTTCCATATCTGATTTTGCTGACCATTCAGTCCTGATGCCCAGGGCAGGGCCTGGCACACATTAAACAATCATCAGACATCTCCTGAATTCACCAGCACATAAATGGAGCACCTTTCCTTCGATGGCTTTAAGAAGGGAGGCCCAGAGCTGGAGAGGCGGAGAGGATGGGGGTCCAGTCTCCCCTTCCCCACGGCCTGACTGCCTACCAGGGCGCTTACCTGCAGGGTGTTGACAGGGAAGGCGCTGATGGGTGGGAAGTCGAGGATCTGCAGGTCGTGCACATGGCCATTCATGACCACAGCAGGCAGGTAGAGGCGGCGGGCGGTAGTGGGCACACAGGCCTCGCTGAACTCGTTGTATAAGAACTGGCGCACGATGGCACTCTTGCCCACACCACGCGCCCCCAGCACGGCCACCCGGTAGGTGGAGACCATGCCTCCCGCCCCGCTCCGCCACCTCGTCCAGGCCTGGGGCTCCTCCGGGCTGCATATTCCAGGGGCTGGGGGCTCAGCCACCGTCAGGACCACCCATTGCCCCCTCTGCTTGCCTCTGGCCTTCTGTGGCCGCCACCTAGACTGGGGGACAAGAGGCAGGGGCTCAGTGCCCTGGCTAATCCTGGGACCTGTGCTGTGCTTCCCCAGCCCTGCGTCTTTGCTGAAGCTGCAACAGCTATTTGGAAAGCCTTCCTTTTCTAGAACTCCTATCTCAGTCCATCCCCAAGCTGTCCACCTTCCTTATCCATCTTTCTTGCAACCCCTGACTCTTCCACCAGGTCTGAGTCCCCTCGACCAAAGCATGCCCCGCTGCACAGGGGAGGGAGCCCTGGACCTGGATTCAGGTTCCAGTCCCAGCTTCAAGCCTGCGACAAGCTGCAACTCCTCTCCTCATCCTGAAGAACAAGTGCCTTTCAGTGGAGGCCCTCTTGACATCCTCAGGGGAAGAAAACTCTTTGTGTGTGTGTGCGCGCGTGACGCGCACGCGAAACTGTTTTCCTATTCCGGACATCTTCATTGTTTTTGGCTCTCAGGACATAAGTGTCCACAGCAGCCTCCGGTCACCATAATGACCCAAAATGCTCCTGGTATTTCCCAAAGTCCCACTGAACTAGATGGCTGCATTGACTCCAGAGAGTAACACAGTTGCACACTGGCTGCTGGCCCGCCCACACGGTCATTCCCAGTCAATACAATACCCCTCAGGGAAAAGTATTCCTATTTGCACTTCAGAGAGCTCCCTGTGTTCCAAACCACACAGCTAGGAACGGTAGCTACTTTCTACAGGTTGCGCTGTTTATCGCTTTAGTGACTCTACACGGTGACAGGCTAAAAGCCGGGTCTGACTGAGTCTCTGACATCCCTCGGAGCTCAGAGGGTCTGGCAGCACACAGCTACCGCCCAGGAAGGGGCTGGACTCTGGAAATGAATTCATTAGCTTTTTGCTTGCTCAGTTCCTGACTTTTAGAGCGTGGGGATAAACCCCAGCTTTGATGGTGTTTAGCTGTATGTCTGTGAGTAAAAATCTGCTTTGGAGTTATGCTCTGCACATTCATAAAGTGGAGTCAACAGCCTCCACTTCCAAGACAACTGCAGTAAATCTCTTAGCTGGAAGGAGAAACCCTTCCTCCTGGGTTGAATAATCCCAGATAGTAAATGGGTTGCAGAGAGCTGGTTTAGTAGGCTCTGATGGTATGAAGTTTTTCAGACACACGCATGTGTGTGCGCGTGTATGTGTGTGTATGTCCTGGTAGATGCATTTTTTTTCCCTTTTCATATGTGCATGACTCATAGCTGAATGTCCCCCAGGCTTTTCTGGTTCAAAGTGCTCGGTCTACGAGGATGCACAATCGTAAATGAAGGACAGGGTTTGGGGCAAGAACCACCAAGGTTCAATTCCCAGCTCTGCCGTTACCCTAAAGCATGAACTTGGCCAAGAAACTTGTTCGTGGAAAGCCCAGTGTCTGGCACAGAGTAGGTATGCAACACTGGTCACTGGTCATCTAAGGCTTTCCCAGACGCTCAGCTGGACCTCCTGGAGGGGGTCACTCTCAACTGTTGCATGGGCTATGTACTTGTGTGTGCCCCTGGGCATCCAGGCGCATGTAAACGATGTCTTTCATTCTATTGAAAAGCAAAACCCACCACCAACAAATGGAGCCCCAGAGACTTAGGGAAGGAAGCTAGCTGGCTTAGCTCAAGTCTAGGACTCTAACCTGCTCTGGGCCTCACGCCTGTCCCTTCCCCAACAGGTGCTCATCTGCCCAGCCTGCTCCCCGCAGAGACAGAACCTACCCTCCCACCACACACATCCCTTCAAGTCCTTAGGCCCCTGGGGCATTCCCGGAAGGCTTCCAGCTTGGCAAAGAGACTCAGCTGGGTTAATTACATAACAGCACAAGTAGGTGGGGATCGGGGAGTCCTGGGCAGTAAGGGAGGGCAAAGAACAAGAGAAACAGAGTCCAGAGTTGCTCTGGGCGTGGCGAGGTTTCAGGATCTACCTTACCTGCAGATTCTCAAGCCCCAAAACCAACTCTTTCTGAGTAGTAGCAGAAACGAAAACCAGGTACGGTCTGGGAGTCAAGGAGGGGGTTCAAGAACAGCCCCCTGGGCACAAACCAGCCTCTAAAACTACCAGGCCTATGTGTGGCCCTGTCCTCAACTCAGAGGGGACAGAAGCCCCTCCTCCTTCCCAGGCACAGGTCCTGGATTTAAGCGTTTTACTAAGCCCACGTGCCTGGTTATGTGGGGGTGAAAAGTCTGTCCCAGGAAGCAGGGCACAGGCCCCCTGAGCTTCCCCAGGGCCTGCATTCTGCAGTGAGTCTGCAGACAGCTCCGGGCAAGACTCATGGGTCACACTCTCGGGCCACAGCCTCTTTCTAGTCCCTTCCTCGGCCTGGACACCTCGGGGTCTCTACCCGTCACTGGGGAGGTCAGAGGCTCCCGAGGACCCCAAAGACCAGGTCGTACGTCCTCGCGAGGTGTCCCTACCACGTCCGCATTGGGGTGGGAGCACCGGCGGATGCCGGTTCCCGGCGACCCGATCGGTGGCAGGCGTGGGGGCTGCAGGAACCCGGCTGGCTCCCGGCCCCAGCTCCACTCCCGCGGCGGCTTCCCCGCCGCCCCCTTCCCCGAGCAGCCCCTCACCCCGCGGCCGCCCCGCTCCTCCTCCCGCTTACCCGGGGCCGTCCCGGCTGCCTGACCCCTGCCCTGGCCGGTGCGGCTGCGCTCCCCCCGGGCTCCGGCGCTGCCTCGGGCTCCCCCGCCCGGGGGGAGGGTGAGGGGCGCCGCCCGCGGCCCGGGCGCGGCGGGCTGGGGCGCGGGGGGCCGCGG